CCCCCCCCTTACCGTTTCCACCGATGATGCAGCTACGGCTCGACAACGAACTGAACGAACCCCCTGTGACGACGTGTTTGTTTTGTCCACCGCCGGCCGCACGCTCGTCGCGTTTTCGCCAACACATTACTCGTCATCCACGGAAAAAAACTGTTGCTATCGCCCGAGGATTATTACGATTGTCACGTGACTGTCAATAAACTCGCAATCTTGAGTGCCCGAAACTTCACGACGGAGACAATGGCCATTGTGATGAGAATCCGAAATAATAGAGTGGTGTATCTGAACATACCCGGTAAGATATACGGTGAGATATTTTTATGAGGAAATTTAATTTTTTTTTTTTTTCTAATAAAAAAAATCCGGATCTCGTATGCGCGTGGATCAGTTCCGTTGAAAGCGTATGTCGTGTCGCACATATTGCCAACGTAACATTAACAACGCACACGTAATAATTTTTAGCGTCAAGTCTATTTTTAGAAAAATAGTTAACGTAAATTGAGCAAAGTACGAGCTAACGTCGAGTCGTTTGTAAGGCATTTTTCGAACACGCTGCACAATTTTTTTCCCAGTTTTTTTTTCCGCAAACGCGTAGATTGTTGTTATTGATGATCAAAGTTAATAACTGGCCCAATTTTAACCACGTACAATTATTACGCATTAAAAATCATCTGTGTGCGTCGTACTACATGTAATTTTGTGATCAAATTATCATCGATATCGCTCGGTATTGATGGAGATTGAAACTGCAACGGTGTAATTTCGTAAATATTGCTTAGATAATTATAGTATATACTCAATTTCATAAATATTGCTTAGAAAATTATGTACTCATGCGATTAAATGGATGAAAAAAACGAAATTCGGGCTAGATTTTATATAACGTGCAAACTTTGTCGTGAACATTAGATAAATGATTAAGTTAATAAAATTAATAGATCAAAGTGAATGATTGATCGTATTATAAAGCAAGTTATTACTAACGCAGTCGTTTCGAGATGTTCCTTTGTTTACTGATGACATTGTTCTACATCGAAATAAATAAATATTTTCTCGACCTTGTTATGAATCACTACGAGGTATTCAACAGGTCGCGTCTGCTTCTCGTGTTCACGTATCTTACTATCGTGCTTACGGTATTATAACGTTTCAAACAATTATTTTGCATGAAATCCCTACGTTTTTTTAATTCGTCGTGTGTACCTACGTACTTATAATAATGTTACGTACATAACTACATTGCTTATATCTTAAAAGATTATAAAAATATTATTAAAAGATTAATTTTCCATAACGGTGGCATGCAAGCATGAAAGCTAGGAATGAGCTAGTTATTTTTTAATAAAAATTACATCGGTATCGTTATTTTTAAGTAATTTTAATAGTTATTTTATAACTGATTATTTTAAATGATTATTTTAAAATTAATAGGTATCTGATTTTAATTACAATTGAAGCAAAATTTGAGTTTTTTTGGAAATATTAGATCTACAGAAAATTCGATATATATATATATAATACATTTTTTCAATAAATAATATTACATACCACAAGAAATATGCTGACAAGAAATATAATAATGGTCGTTAAATATAACTCATAGACTTATCGTATACAGGGTGTTCATAAAGTATCGGATCCCCCCTCTATCTCAGAAAATACTAACTGGATTTGTATTTAAAATTTTTTTATCCAATTAGTATTTTCTGAGATAAAGGGGGGGGGTTCGATACTTTATGAACATTCTGTATAAGTATATGTATAAATCTATGATGTAACCTTTTTTTTTACAGGACTGCGTTCGAAAACATCACCCGAGTGCTCCTGTGTGGATCGTTTTTATTCTTTTTGTTCATGTAATATTGAGTAACGATAAAGTAATACACGGAGATGTTTTCGAACACAGCCCAGGCTGATATCTCATCGTATGATAAATCTTTTGCAAACGTTGATTGGCTATACATGACAGTGAAATTTCTGAGTTGTTAGAAATTCTCATTCTTGTAGCCCCATTAAAGCTTTCGAACATTTGTCGTACGCAGTAGAGACAACAATATCAGAATACGGCTGAAATAACTGATTAACTGTCATTTTTATTAATCGGTTAATAGTTATAACAGTTACAATTTGATAACAGTTATTTAAGTAGCAGATACAAAAATATCGCCCATCCCTAATGAAAGCTTTTTGTGATTGTTCATTATAGTACATTTTACAAATCTTTTTTTTTTTTTAAATCACGTCAAGTTATTAAAAATTTAAATTTTGTCATTGAAGAGAGAAAAGATCAGAGAGAAAGCGGGTCGAAATGTTTTGAAGTCATTGTTCTTATCGTCAATAATAAACAATTCTCATATACGATTGTGAATCAAAACATTCGTTATTACGATAAATATTTATACATATATCATGGTTGACATCTGGTCTTCTTTTTGCAATCAAAACATTAAAATTATATGCAAAATTCAGAAAAATAGTTTAACGTGTCGATGATTTGTGATTTTTTCAGCACCGAAATTAAAAGGCAGACCGCGAAGAAAGCGTAAAAAGCGCAGCGCTTCGCCGGGTGAATCCTCGAACGAGAGCGAAGCCTCAGTGGCTTCGACGTCGAGGAGCTCGTCGGCGATCACCAGTACCAGCTTGGTGATACCCACGGTCGGGAGGCCGCCCTCGTCCGCGGTACGGCGGAGCGAGAGGAAGACCAGCGCGGAAGAAAAGAAGTTTATCACCGACGTGCAGAGTTTTATGAACTCTCGGGGTACGCCGGTCGGAAAGATGCCACTGCTGGGCTACAGGCAGAGTCAGTATCTTGTTATTCTCCTTCGGATTTCCTATCCGATGACCGATCTGCCACCGGAAGGGCAGACCGATTTCTTTAATTTTTCGAATTTCTATATCCGCGCAATTCCCGACAGCGATTTGGCTGCCAGACTGCAGAGAGCTAAGACACAGCAGGGTTTCCTTCTCGCAAAATCTAGACTCGCAATCGTCCCGTGTTCACGCGATCCCTATTCCCTAACGATTTTTTTCTCTTTTCTCTTCACAGTCGATCTGTTCCTGTTCTATACGAAAGTGCAAATGCTCGGTGGTTACGACTCCGTCAGCGCTGGCCGCCTTTGGAAGACCATCTACGATGATATCGGTGGTAACACGGGGTCCACTAGCGCGGCAACTATTACACGTAGACACTATGAAAGGTGAGGTATTTCAGCGCGAATTCTCATCACGATTATCTTTGAGCGTTAATATCTCTGTTACAGAAATCCAATTTTAATACTGGAAATCACTTATTTTGAGTATTAAAGCACCCAATTTAGTACTTTTAATACTCAAAATAAATAATTGATCGCTGCATTTCAGTATTGAATTTCTCTTATTCAAGTAGCATTCAAATTCTAATGAGATTTTTTTTTATTGCAGATTATTATTACCTTATGAAAGGTATCAGCGAGGTGAAGAGACAAAAGTGAGACTGAACCACGGACGACGTACCAAGAGTATGTCTGAGGATTCGGACATCAAGGAGGAACCGAGCGATTTGTATTTGTCAGAGACACCTCCACCTGTAGATGCAATTCCCGCGACTACACCGCCCTTACAACCAATAATGTCAGCGACAACGGTAAATGGCATTAATTTAATTGACATTGAAACCACCGTACGTACTTACCGAAGCTCAAATATTAACGTTACATCCTTTCTTACAGACCTTACTTTCGAGTGAAAAACCCAAAGCCGAAACCGGCAAGACGTCCTCGTTACGTAGCGTGCGAGTGAAGCCAGACCGCCTGAAATCCTTGAATACAATAATTGCCAATAACGCGACACCTTCCAGCCAGCAAGCTAGCCAACTGCCAAGCCCACCGCCATCCTCCAACACGTCTATCTCAACGCCCAACAGCACACCCTCCACAACGCCGACGAATGGTACCAGTAACAATCAGAGTGTCTTGGAGAGGCAGCTCAACAGTCCTTTGATATCTCAACAAGTTCCACCATCGTGTTCGCCACCAGGCTTGCCCGTGACTAGTGTAGCAACGAACGCGTCGACGGTTGTCACGCTAACGCCTCCGCCTGAGAAAGATATGAAGGAGATCAAGTTGGATCCCAAGCAGACAACTCTGCTGGCGCAGGGCAAGGAAAATATACCATTGTTCGGCGGCGAGAAATTCGCGGAGAAGACGATGGTGCCACCGGTATCGAGATCGCCCGAGGTGATCGACCTTGAAAACGAGAGCGACACGAGTCGAGACAAAATAATCATTCCCAGCTTCAAGAAACGCAAGCTCGAGATTTTGCGCGAAGGCGGTCTCGAGGTTACCGCCGTCGATCTGGAAGCACGGCCGAGTGTGATTCAAAGTAGTGTCATCATGTCGCCGCAGCAACAGCAGCAACAACTGCAGCAGCAGCAGCAGCAGCAGCATCATTCACCATCCTTGCCGGCTACAATGAAATCCAATGAAGAGAAGCAATCGTCGGTCTCGCCATATCCGCTTCCAGTCACGCCCAATTCCATTCCCAAGTTGATATCCGTCACCGTGACGCCCGACATAGGGCACATGCTACCGTCGCCGCAGGAGCATCACAATCATCCGCCGCGAGTGTCGGCGATTAAGCAATTACCGGCTCATCATAATAATAACAATATCAGCATGATGAACAATAACAACGTGGCGAACAGTCGGATAATAAATCTCGGTAGCTCGAACAACACCGCGCTGCTGCAGCTGTACGCAAACGCGAACGTCATGCCATCGACGATGTCTGCGCAGCAACAAAATCATCGTTTCGTTCCGCCAAATATTCCGAATGGCAGGTTACTGCCGCCGAAGGTGACGCAGTCGAGATCGATATTTGTGCACAATGAGAGGACGGTTTACGGAAATCCTAAGGATATTATTCTTACCTCTCCACCAAAATATCCTCCTCCGCATCAAGCACAGCAGCAACAGCAACAGCAACATCAACGCTCGCAACATTCGCAAATGTGCTCCAGCAACGACATTGGACACGGAGGAGGCGTTCTCGATTTAACGCAAAAGTCTAGCGAGAAACCGGCGTTCCCTAGGCCCAGTCTAGAAATAGTCAGAGTACCTGTAGTGCAGAGGCCTAATCCGTTGAATCTGGACGTGCGGAATTCGCCTGTGGCGAAGGACAAATTGCCGGACAGACCCGCCGTCGACTGTCCAAAGCGAATACCACCCTTCGGCTACCAAAGTGTAATCGACAGTCGGACTATTGCGTCGAACAACCTCGAGATTACGCTAGTGAATCCCAAGCACAAAAACAATCATCATCTCATACCACCTCACGTTCAAATACCGAGTCCACCTAATAAGAACAGTGCGATAGGAACGATAGGTAGTGCGCAAAGGAGGCAACAACAACAACCGCAGCAGCAGCAGCAGCAAATGAATGGAAAGTATACGGTGAGAAGCGAGCCGGTTTCGCCGTACACCCCGAGAAAGCCGAGTCATCCCATCATACCGAACATACCCAATTTGAATCATCTGAATCACAGTGGAAGTCCGTTTCCTAGAATGCAGGCAACGACATTGCAACAGCAGCAGCAACAGATGAGTATTGATAGGAGGAAAGCGGCTGCGGAGGCCGGCAGGGATAATCAACATCGTAGGATCAGCGAGGGCGAGAAGTCATCTTTGGCAGCGCAACAGCAGCAGCAACAGCATCAGGAATCCAGGCAGGGCGAGGCCGGGCGACGACACAGTTTGCCCAGCATACCATCGGGATTTGTGCCTACGGTGCCGCAAAACAATTCCGCCGCCTATCCGTTGCCGTCGCAACTGCCGCCGAACGCGTCCGGCAAGTTCCTACCAATTCTGGATCCCATGTACTACTCCGCGTTCTACAACCCTCTGTTCCCACCGCCGATTCCGCCCAGGGGCGCAGCTACTGCGTCGTTTTTACCGCCGGAATTTAGCGCGTATTACAAGGAATTGCTCGCTTCCTCGCAATCAAGACTGACGGGGATGGCGGGGCAGCCGCCGCATCAACAGCCGGCCGCCCCAACGTCTAAATAGACAATGGGATCTCAACATTTTAGGGTTTCCGGCATAGCGAAAGATGCTTTGACTACTAGAGAGACAAGGATCCGTCGGACTTCTTCGCTGTCGAAATGAATATATCGGCGAGTGAAGCGATATAATGATTAAGAGTGATGCGCGGTTCGTTCAAATTATCTATATTCAATTTATGTTGTTTTTCTTCGATTTAGAATAACGACAAGACGAAAAATTATTCACAGTGTTTGTTCGTGATAGAACAAATATGATAATCCTGTAGAGTCTCGCACAAAGAGTAAAATGAAATGTCGATCAGATTAATGTAGATTTTAGACGGCTATGTCTTTATTTGAAATTATTTAATTATTCACATCATACGTTCCGTTATAATTAATTATGAATGTTTCTGATGGATGATTACAGAAATATTCATAATGCGTCTGATGAGAGGTACAATATTATGTTGACTTTATTGCCCGCATAACATTTTGTTGTTTACTCGAGATCAGAGGTGCAGATTTAATATAATTAATATATAATAATTAATATATGTTATATCAAATAAATGCGGGCGCATTGCAAGTCTACTTCGAAACTAGATTCTCTAATTCGTCCAAGACTCTGGAGGATTATCAATATTAAGAAAAAGATCCTGTGATAAGAGTGCGACACAAAATGTATTGCTATTCAAGGAGACAGTCGATGGAATCCACAGAAAATCGTTATTTTTATATGTTTATTTTATATAAATTGTTTACGCGCGTTTTTTGAGTTTCCAATTGATGTTATAAGACAAAATATTCTGAATTGGAAGCTTGCTGCACTGTCTCTACCACGCTAGGAGCTTCCGAACGTTTCGTTCCCTGAGACTAATTATTTTTTTCTTTTCTTCATACATTCAAGTACGTATATTTCGAGTATTTCGTTATAATTAATTTCAAGCTCATCGTTTCTTTATTTTCGGTTTTCGTTTCGCAAGCGCATATACTTTAGATTTATTTTGAATGCACTATGTGATAAACCCGATGCAAAAAAAAGAACAATGGCGAACATTTAGCCGGCGGATCATCGGAATGTATAATTGTTTACTGTGTGTAACGGGGTAAATCTTATGTAGTAAACGCTCGCGAAAACCCTACTGTACTGTATAAGCTAGACAATTTTCATTATAATAAAAATAAAAACAAGAACTCGTACACTCGTACACAATCACGTACACCGCTCTGTAGTCACCTCTAACGATATAAGCGCACGCATGCAATGTTATAAGCAGCGACATGTATATAATGTATATAATCACGTAAATCATTAAGCTAGACAAATCCTACATTTATCTTTCAACATTACGTAAGGAAAGTTAAGTTTAGTAAGTGTACACAGGCTGTCTTGCTCGTGTGGCCAACGATTGTCGTATCGCTGTTTCCTTATTAACGAGGAACGAAAACGATATTTTTGCCGAACATTTCCGATGGTCTCTTTTTTCGCACGGAAGACATTTGTGACGATCTTTCTGTTCTCTAATGCCGCGTCGACGCGGGGGAGCGCGTAGCATGTGAGCTTTTTCGTTTTTCATATTGGTCTGTAAAAAAAAAGCAACGGAACTGTGCAATCGATTGTAATTGTCGCGCGATCGCTATCCAAACGTGATCGAACATCGCGGGCCACAATACTTTGAAAAACAGATTTAAAAAAAAATTATCGACGGTATATCCATGTTAAATGTAGACATATTGATAGAATTTGTTCGTTTTAGGATACTCTGATCAAAAAAAAATATTAATAAATATGAGAATAACGTTTAAAGCATTCGTAACCCTAAGACGTACAAGTGGAAGAAAGATCCGTTTCGGATCGTTCTGGCGAAAAAAAAGAAAATCAGATTTCTATATTGATGTCTTTCAAGAGTATGAATTGTTCACGTTTTTTCGGATGGTTCTTTCGTGATAACAAAAAAGGCGTTCCGGCGCTGATTGCGAGACCGCGGCTGATTAACAATAGCCTTCCAGTGGTATTCAACGAGTCGAGAGAGAAACGGGAATTATCGAATTATAGACAGGCGCGAGGGTCACAGGCACGAAAGACACGACAGCGCGCGAGAAACGGCTACCACTGTTGTTATTTTTGTAAGACCGCGGCTGACTTCCGGCGACCCGGGCGCGTCGCGACCAAACGGCCGTCGCGTCGCGTCGCTTTTTTCGACATGGTGCTATGCGACGAGAGAAATTCTATTGTAAGTCTTTTTCGAAAATTTTAAACGGGCGTTGTTGGGTACCAGTGGGATCTCTGGCGCGATCGCCCGAAAGAACTACATACACACAATCTTAAGATAGATCTTCACGTCCAAGTCTGATAAACGTATACAAGAAACAAGAAGTTAAAGGGACTCCACGGGTTCTAGCGTATGTATAAATTTAAGAGGAGAGGAGAATAATCGAGTGTACCGGATATCCGTTACGATTGCGATTCGCGGGTAATATCGCGGGGCCTCGTACAGCGGCGAGGAGGAGAGCGAAGAGGACGGCAAGGCGAACGTTGTCGAGTCTCCGCAGAGAGGGAAGGGCTTTTACGAGAATACGTGCCATAAAAGAAAAAAAAACTGATTAGATAGCGACTACGGAATCGAACGATGGCAAACGGTCGTTTGTACATGGCTTTTGACGAGCCCGTTAATAGTTCGAGAAACTAAAAGAAGGTAGACGCGAATCGAGAAGAAAAAAAAGAGAAAGGTGTATAATAATAACAATGTGCAAAGAATTCCACGTGGAAGATTTTATATGATTTTTCATTTATATTCTGTTACCGCGATTGTTTTGTAAATCTCGAGTCCTTTTTTTTAGCGCGCATGCGAGTGTACAGGATAAACGTGTCGATATGAGTGAGTGAGTGAGTCTCGCGGGAAGAATCTTAGAATGTTTCGAGAAGAGTCTACGATTGTTTTCGTTTTTTTTTTGCGAGTTTTCTCTTCATTTTTGTATACTTAGTAGAGCGATTTTAGCATAACCCTCGTTTTCCCACTTTAATAATAGTAATTATTATGATACAAATATTTTTTATTATATGGGCATTTCAGTTCCTAAGTTGGAAATAAAATATCTACTATAAAACGGGCTTTCTTATTGCGAATTGAACACGTACCAAGTGAGAGTGAGTCTGTCGTGTATATCTGCGATCGTAAGAACGCATTTTTCTCCTTACAATTAGATCTTTGCCAAAACACTATTAAAGACGGCAGATTTTTATTCCTAGAAAAGATTTACCAGCACCTGCTTCCTTTCTCCTCCCCTTCCCCTTCGATATTCGCAGGCGAAAATGAAGATCGGAGAATCGTAAATCGAATGTAAGGGGAAAGTGACGTAAACGGAAACTTCTAGGAAGCGTAAATTGAAACAGTAGAACGTAAAAGAAACGTTTCAAAAGATAAACGCCTTTGTTACGTCTCGCTGTTCCAATTTACGCTTCCTAGAAGTTTCTTTTACGCTTCACTTTTCCCTTACACTCGTTCCGACTTACATACGTTCCGATCTTTATTTTCGCCGGGGTAAGTATATATGTATATACGTTTATAGATTAATTATTTTCTGGAGTTCTCAAATTTCTTTCTACTTTCGGAGAGAAAACAATAATTTACAATTTTTCTTACTATAAATTTATAGTACAATAATTGAGAAGATACTGAAATTGAGAGATTTATTTGTATTATACATTGAGAAATACACTAATAATTTGAATATTTCTCGTAATACAGTCGAACCTCGATAACTCAAATCTCAAGGGAAAAGCTAAACTTTTTGAGTTATAGTTTTCGACTTACGGAGGCTTTGTACAAGAATTTATAATTTTCCGATTAAAATGGCTTTTAAAAGAAAAAAAATTCAATATTTGACAGTGAATTATTTATTGGATATAAATAATAAATGTAATCGTAAAACAAATACCAAGCTATTACTCATGGTTATACATTATAGCTACAACTTTGAATTATAGAGGCAGCGACAATTATAGAAGTTTGACTTATAGAGATGAACTTTGATTTGTAGGGATCTGGCTGCTTTAAATTCGAGTTGCAGAGGTAAAATATTACATCTAAATATCTGACAAATAATTCGAGTTGAGGTATATTTTATTTCTATTTATGGCGGTTTTCCGCAGTGGAGCGGAAAGGATCGAATGAACAAAATTTTCGTCTTATAGAGATTTTCGAGTTGTAGAGGTTTCAGTTATTGAGGTTTGACTAACAATAATATTTCTTTTTATTTATTTTAATTGTATCTCCATCTTATTGGCAATTCATACGTGCATGTTATTATTAGAATCGTGGATGCTAATTGCTCGCTATGCGCGAGACGGAACGTCGAAGCGAACGTGTGTTTCAGTGTCTCGCGGAGATCGCAGAGATCTCGCGGACGAGATTGGTAAGAAATTAAGATGCCAGAATGAAGTTTTACTCATGAGAAAGTATTATACGCGCTGTTCTCCGTGGGTAACGCTCTCGTCGTAATCGAGAGGCTGCTTCCCATTGGTCCGGCCGTCAGCGCGCGACGTTATGAACTCGGCGAAACGATGGAAAAAAACGAAAGGAAAAAGAACCGCGAAGCACTGCGGCGCGGAATGCACGCGGAGCATATGTGCCGCGAAATTTAAAATCTCTTTACGGCGGCCATAAACCGATAACCTGTTTAACCAGTCCGGCCGATGGCGGACTACGCGGACATTTTACCGTCGTGCAAAATCATTCCTATTCCGTTTTTTTTTACCGTCGTTTCCCTTTTCTCGTTTCTCTTTTTTTCTCCCCCCTGCTCCGGCGATCTTTGTTATCGTTACGGGATATCTCGAAGCATCAAGCGTTCACGAGCCTGTGCGATTTCACTGACAAATATATCACGGGATCGAGAGATGATCGCTTTTCGGTAACTACATCGAACGCTTTTAATCCTCCGTGCACAGGTATATGGGGTGTGAAATAGCAAAATTTAAACTGCTTAAATTTAGTTCGTAAGAAATAGTATTATTTTTGTTTTCTTGTTTTAAAAGATTAGAGTTTATTATTTTGTTTTATTCTTATATCTTAAGGAACAAGAATCGATGTTATGACAGTCGAAATTATTGTCGTATGAAATTAAGTAATTAAAGTGAAATAATAACATGGGATAGGTATATACATGAGATGGTACGGCATGTTGATTTTTTTCACCTGCACGGAGGATTAAGATCGTAAAGCGTTAGGTTTTCCGCGACGAACAATGTGCAGTCAGTCGGAGGTTTTTCGTTTCGCGACTGTCACTTGTCTCCTTACAGTCCGGACGGTTTTAATTATAATTGCTGATAGGGGTTACAGGTGAAGATCGAAGCTGGTGGTCCGCTTGACTTTACGAGCAATGCGCGAGATACGGATCTACTGCCCAGTGAAATGTCGCAGAGAACGCTGCGCGCCGCGGATGCGATGCGAGAGTGCATTCATGAACAGGTGCATATATTCACGGGCGTATCACTGCACATCATCTCTTGAAGAATTCGTTCGAGGCAGCTCAAAATTTAGAGAAATAGCTTATAATAAATAGATTATATTTCTTAATTTATGTCATAATAAAAAGACGTTCCATAACTGTCAGTCTTATATACAAGATATAATACATATAATCAAGAGGGAATAATAATTTTATAATTATAACAAAAATTGTAACAAAAAAACACGTCATAAATTTTAATTATTTTAACTTAATATTCATGTAGCGCTTAATATTTAATATTCAGCCACAGAAATGATTACAATAATAATTAATGATCAATGTGGAAACTAGTTTTGATATTTTTGTCATCTTCGATCTCATCGTAATTATTTTTATATTAATTGAGCAATTACGAACATTTTTATAAGTAACGATAAAGGAAAAAAAAGGCTAATGAAAGTCAAGCGCGGTATTTGGTGCGCAAATAATTCAGACAATCTTTAATAATACTTAAACAGAGGACGTTTCTCTCAGGTTCGAGCCATCTTCAGCAATACAAAATCATCTCATAATCAGATGATGTCTTCTTTCTCCGCACAAAAGACAAGGGTTATGGATTAAGTGTCAATCATGTTCGGTTAGTAGGTCGAATAATCTTAAAAATTAAGACCAAATGTGAAGAGAACGAAGTCAATAAAATGTATCGTGGAACGCAACATATTAATAAATAAATATAAATAAGAAAAATTTTTTTAAATCAAGAAACAGTCAAAGAATAAGAATATTAAAAACCGAGGGGATAACCACTCAGAAAATATATGTACACCTGGACTTCTGACTTCAAGACTTCACCGGACTTCACGGACTTTATCGGACTACACCGGAATTCATCGGACTTTATTGGACTTCGTCGAACTTCACTAGACTTTTATGGATATACGGTTGCCACTTTTCGGGTCTCTGTCTGGAAACATCGGCGAAATTTTTCAACAAATTTCCAAATAAATGTTAATGTTCGGACATTAAGGGCTTTTAAAGAACTCGATCAAAGTTGATGACTTTTTTTTTCAAATTGGACTATTTTTATCGGACTACGTCGGACTTCAACGGACTTCAGCGGAATACGTCGGACTTCAATGGACTTCAGAGGACTTTGCTGGACTTCATCGGACTTCAAGGAATTCAATGAAATTCAACGAAATTCTGACAGGTTGTACACCGGAATTCAAGAGTGGTTACCCCCTCGTTAAAAACTGTATAAATACAAATGTAAATTAGTTCAGAAAATTAAATGTTCTTAGTCACAGTCAGTATAAAAATGATATAAGAACGAGCAACTATGATTTTTATAAGATTTCTATTGTTTTTCGGCTAATTTTACTATCGAATCGACAAAAAGTCGGAAAACATACGGAAAGAACGATTTTGTTGAAAGATCTAAAAATTTTGCTAAAAACAGATCTGAAAATAATTTTTTGTTGAATCATCAAAATAATTTGTTGGAATATTAAAACTGATAAGCATTGCATAAAATGTTTTGATATTCTAGCAATCACTTTGACTTTCGCACAAAATTATTTTGATTATTGAACAAAAAATATTATCAGATCTGGATTCAGCAAAATTGTTCTTTCCTGCACAGTAGATACATGTACATATACCAAATGCTATACATATATACGATAAATTGGATAGAAATCTTATAGAAATATTCCACAATTATCCAATTAATACGAAAACGATTATGACGAAGTTAAATATCAATTAATACATTGATATATCGATTTGGCTAATCATTTTTAGCTTGGGCAGACACGAATATATGCAAAGTACCTATATGACACAACTTGCCTCATCTAAGCTTAATTTTTATTAATTAACTTTGAACCGTTTGTGGCAATTGTGAGCGAAGAGCGAGTAAAATGGCACCCTCCCATCGTAAGACAGATTAAATGCCAGGTAAAACAAGCCATCTCTCTCTCTCTCTCTCTCTCTCTTGTATTGACTTCCGGCTTGCTAGGATGGTCTTTATTATTTAGAATTAGGCGATTAAAGTACACGAACGCGCACGCGAGTGTCGATCCTCGCACAGACGCACGCGTGCACGCCGAGCTATGATTCGGACGATAGGAGCAAAATTGTGTTTACCTCTCCATACTCTCCGATGACAATCGGCAAACACACGCGGCCGCTGTAGTATTGTCGCGCATCACCGCATGCCAAACTGCCCCTATATAGAAAGTACACTGCGGGATCGCATGCAGATAGATCCGCATTCGCCAATCGGGAATTCGCTGGAGCACATCCGCGGATCTCCTTCGGTCGTCGTCATCGTCGTCGTCGTCGTCGTCGAGATGACGGCGAGTCCCGAGCGGGGAACGGCTTTAATTTCTTCGTCGATACCATCGAGGACCGAACTTGCGCGGATGACTCGATAGCGAGCGAGCTTGGATGGTCGCCGATTGTGAGCGACGTCGCGCGCGGAAAAGTTATTTACGTAACTGCGCGCGCTCAAGACACGCACGATCGGTCGGCCTCGTGATTATTAACCCCAAGAGCCCGAGAGTGCCCATCAAACTATACGACGTAAATTTTTTCACGCTTAAAAAGGATTAACGACGTGGAATTATGCGAGGACGCATTCTTATGCCGGCATT